AGGAATGCTGCCTGGACTTTTGTCCAGCTGGGAATTCACTCCCCTTGTCCTGAGCTCCTACCTCCAAACCACTTTGTTTGGCTCACGCCAGTCGCTCTGCTGCAAAAACAGCCTTTGCATGAGATGTCACCAGTGACACTGTGCAGTCGTTGCTGCTGTTTTGCTGGCAGTGGAGAGGACTCGGTATCAGAAATGTCTTGCCAGATAAGAAAGGTAGAGACGTGCAACAGCCCGTGCGTGGTCACGTCCCGAGAGGAAGAGGAGGTAACCTCAGTCTCTGCTGCATGCCTGCAGGAAGAGATCTCACATGCGAGCTCCCATCTTGGCTTAATCTGGGACCTAAATTTCATTTGTTCAGGCAAAACTCCCACCATTCACAGCAAGTTTTGCCAGAGTAAATACAGCAGATCTGGGCCTTTTTCATTTTGCTGTAGGCGGATTGATGGCTCCCTGGGGAAACCCGTGCTCGAGCCACACATCCCACCCTTCTCCGTGTTGCCCAGTGCACAAACACAGCTCTCTGAACTCCTTCAGGGTTTCAGATGGTTTGGCAGGACCGTACATCTTTCCCTTTCCATCCTGTAACCACATGGGAGAGACTCGGAGGACATGTCTGGTGTTCAGGCTTGGCTTCTGATTGTGCCTCTGCTTTTGCTTCGTTTACCTCTGCCCCAAGAGCTGGGATGGCTGATACCAAAATCAGCTTTAGGGTGTGTTTTGAGGGCTCCTGTAGATGTGATGTGGTTGGGAAGTGCTACCCACCTCTCTTCTTCCTGCTGCTTGCTTTAGTCCTGCTTGGAAGTGCTATAAATCCTCATGGTTTAGGACACAAAGCAAATTCTGACCGACTGAAGATGGCAGCAATTCCCCCCTGGGTTTTGGACCAGGGTTTGCTTTGTGTTGCCAATAGTTTGGGGTGTAAACTGGAATGATTGGAAAATGTGCACTGTGCCAGCTCTGGATCAGTGATTTTGCTGCAAACGAAGGGCTAAATGTGCTGTGTGATGAGTTTAGATAGATAGATAGCTCTTGGCAATTATAAGTAGCCTCTCCATGTTCCCTTGAGTTATTTCTGCTGTCACAGATTGTTCCTCTTTTTAATTAGAATTTTTAAATACAGTTACTGTAGCATATTTTACAGTGTGTGAAAAAACTGTAATAGAATAATATAATGATGTTAGAGACTATGACTTGACATTAAATATTATATAGACTTCGCTCTGGGTTGTCTTTCCTTTAAATACCAAGCCATTAGAGCTGTCCCATTATCTTCTGTTTATTTTTCTGTGTCCTGTACATCTGGCGTAAAATAACACAGATTTTACTTTCCAAGTGTGTCTAAGGGAATTGTGCCAAATACACATTTTCATTGCTTGCCTGCAGAAGGACCAGAAGATTCCTGAAACTCAATAACAATATTGTCAGTCCTGGGCAATAAAAAACAATGGTTTGTCTCCGTTCTCTTTTCTACTTCTGTCCTCAGCTTAGAAATAACAAAGATGAACAGATTAGGCAGTTTTTCCTTTGTGCTTTTCAGTTTTTTGAGTATAAATTTCCAAAGTCCTCTGTGTGACAAGGAGGTCTAGAGCTTCCCACACATGCTGGCACTCACACCAGCACCTTTTTGAAACGAAGGCTGCGTGTCTTAATACCAAATGTCGTCTGGAGCCAAGAGAAAAGTTGAGTTGGTTCGTGTGAGGTGGCAACATCTCAGCTGGGCACTTTGGGGAAGCTGAGTGGATGTCTGCTACTGACTTTAATAGGAGAGGAATCGGGATTGTTTTTTATAACTATTTCTCAAAAGGGAAACTTACAGCTTATTGAAAAAGAGGATATGAAGAACACAAACTAGCTCTGTTCTTGCCAAGAGCTGTACAGATTATGTCACCGTATTTATTTAAAACTGGTTTCCATTATGTAGTTTTTCTGCTTTTCCCCCACACCCCATCTGCTTCTTAGGCACTCAGACAGGGCTGGGCTTCAAACCCTGCAGGGAAAAGCTCAAATCTGTGTAAAAAGACATTATTTAGGGTAATATCTGCTCTTCATAGATTTATTTGTATATTATTGATACACAGTTGCCAGTTATTGATACAAGGAGCCCTTCAAAACAGTTGATTAGTTTTGCTGGGCTCATGTTTTTAATAGAATTATGCAATGATTGTTTTTTTAAGAGGAGTTCTGCTTGTGCACCTGGAAGCAGGAGATTAGCTCTGCAAATACTGCAGGTATTTTCCTGCTCCCAGATTCCCTCCAGACAGACACAGTCCTGACGTTAGAATCAGAGGATCATTTAGGTTGGAAAAGAACTTCAAGGTCATGAAGTCCGACCGTTAACTGCTAGTCCTTCCAGTTTAACTCTCCCATATAAAGAGGTAATTTTAGGATGTGATTGACTCGAGCATGGAGAGCAGCCAATATTTGGCCCAAAAATCCATTTGCAAGTGTGTGAATCATGAAATGTGCAACAAAAATGAACTAAAAAATTGCTGGAAATGGAGCAAGCATCTTCATTGTTTTGGGGGCTAAGCCTCATTTTATGTGCAGCACCATGACATATGTGGGATGATTGTTATTCTGCCCTACCAAATATCTGAATTCCCCCCATACCACCTACTGAAAGTCCAATTCTGTCTCCATTTCACTTAATTCTGGGCTTTTCCCTGGGAGATCCTGCCAAACAGCTTTAAATTCACTTGCAGTTGAATGGGATGTGTGGACAGCCCCTTCATACATGCAAAACTGGATGGGCTCCTAGTGAAAATGTTTTATCTGCTAGTGAGCTGGCCAGGAAATGTCTTCAGGACAAAAATGAGGTGCAAACCGCAGCAAAATACAGTGTTTTAAAACAAAATGTTGATGTGAATGCTCTCAGGGTGCTCTGGAAACTCC